CTATGAGTGAAACTTGGCTTGTAGACATCTGTCCAGTGGAGTTACATCATCTTGTTGTTTAATGGCGAATCATGTAAAATGGCCGCCACGGCTACGCCATTCCATCAAACGTAAAGCTTTTAGCAACTTTTAATTACAAATGCCTTTAGATTTTACTGATCAAATTTGAAGTGGATCTGACAAAGTCCCTATGAGGAGTTAAAGTATAGCGACTAGAATTTAAATTTTAAGTCAAGCCAAAGGAAATATTTATTTTCACCACCTATGACACCTGTGCAAAGTTCCAAGGCTTGTTGAGCATCCTTAGCATCATCAATGTCAAAGTATAAAACATGTCATTTCCTTTTTCCAGTAGGTGGCGCTATGACTTTTTGAAAATGTTGGCATGGAAATGTGCTCAGGCCTGGACCAGCATCATGCATAAGAAGTTTGGGGCAGATTAGTAGAAAATGTGTTTTTCCACAAAATTCAAAATGGCGGAAAATCTTGAAGGGGTCCAAGAGGCTTCTATTGTAGACCTCATTCTGTTGCATGTGTGTAAAATTTCAAGTTAATTGGTCATACGGGATGAGGGGGCTAAATTCTATAGGGCGCTAGCAAGCAATTTTCTCATATTCGAGCATGGGACCCATAAAATATCAAATTTTTCACCAGTCCTGATAGGCATGCCAACTTTGGTGAGTTTTCAGATATGATAGAGGCCCCAAAAAGGTGATACATTGGAGAGAACAATAATAATAATTCCTACAGTTTCAATAGGGTCCACGCGGTCCGACGTTGTCGGTGCTCGGGCCCTAGTGAAGCAGACACTGATTGGAGATAAATGCCCAAAAGTTGCATAACAAGTTGTCAAGGATGTGCGTAAAAACATATGTTTGTCCACCTAATATTTTCATGATATTATAGTGCATTATCACATTAACTGGAAATTGACAGTTTTAGGCTTTATTAAGTCTTTCAAAAGGGACGGCATTTATTGCTTTATTTTCTAATTCCAAGCAAACTAATTGAAATTGGCACCATCAAGTTATATTGTATGGTGGTACACTCTGAAATCCTCATCCACCTGCCATGTGGTTGTATTATCAACTGCTCCCTGTCTTTATGAGCTGTGTGCGGTGCATTGGCAAAGACACAAGCTTGCATTTGGAGTGGCTTATAGGAAAGCGGGTGAAGCCGTGACCACCTGTGTGGATAAAGGCTGGGATTGAATCCAATGCCCATCAGCCAGGATCACGTATTGGATGGAGGCACTGGTTTTAATCTTGTGACCAACATTGCAGATTTTAGGTTTTAAACTGAAGTGGAAAGCAGTGTTTTCTGTGGGCAGATCCAGTTGACAAATTTGCAAGCATTAGTTGTCAGAACTTACAAAATAACCAAAGATGCTTATATAAAATACAGTTTATATGATTTAAATGGCAGTTTAGAAGTTAGTGCCACAAATTCGGCAGCTGCTCTCCGTACGTCATGTATTGTAATAACGTGTTGATCCAACATATTGTCAATGTAAACTCTCTTGGACGCTTGGTCAGTGGCCCTCCGCTTCCAACTTTGATGCTCTAGGTACCTCTAGCGTCAGTTTTGGACTCATCAAGGATGGCGTGTCAGTTTCCACTTGTCATATACATAGTGTCTTTTCAAAATAAGGTTTCGTTTTAAGGTTTTCTTACACAACAAAAACACTTTTTCAACTCAGTTTTCTGAAAAATCAATGTTTGGCTAACAATAACCAAGTTTTTAATGTAAAATAACTTATGTTACTCCAGTTAAGTACTTAAGTTATGTAACGCAGCTAAGGTAAAATAAGTCAACTTTGACAAGGTGTCAGACGGAGCACAAACAGCGGCCTACTGGTTTGACCCATCCAACCTCCTTTCCCACCCTACAGTTGCTCTGACCGTGTAATACTGATGTAAATGGGTTTATATTGGAGGTAGTTAAAAGCCCGGTTTGTCTCATAGATGCTAAAGGAGGCATCGTTATCAGAAGCCCAGGGGCACTGACCAAATTGCGGTATTTAAGTTTGAAATGACAAATGGTTTGTGTAGTTTGGTTCATCTGGTAAGTTCCATGACAAGTAGTTTAGTTCTGTAGCAATTTAGTTCTGGTCTGCTTCCCGTGTTTTTACTAATGAACCAAGAGAAGAAAACATGACGTTATACAGACTGACAGGTAACTCGTTGATTGGACTGTTTTGGCGATTGTCAATCTGCATCATCAGGGCCCACTTGGGAAAATCGTATCCCAGCGACTGACGGATGTTTTTGCAGTTTTTGATGTGCACATTTATGTTCTTTGGTGTCACAAACATTGACTGGCTTTCTTTGACCTGTGCTCTGAAAAAGAGATTAATTTTTGTAATGAATGTATATAATTTAAATGTGAAATTAGTAACAACATATTAAACAAGTGCAAAGCTAATAATCCCTCCTCCATAGAGTCAGATGGTGAATTCATTACAAAGCCCCCGGTATTGCTAACTGTCTAAATGATTTTCTTTATTAACGACAGGCTAAGACATAATATGAATTATGAATACCTAAAATTGTGAATTATCTGAAGAACTAATGAAAGAGTTCATCATGACAAACAAACATTCCACTCAAACCAGTACTACAGAAACTTCTGATCTCAGTCAAAAAATATATATAAATAGTTAACGCCACGTTGCTTAACGTGAAACTCTGATGGTTATGTTGAGGGAACAAAATTACTCAGTTAAATTTTTAGAAAAAACATTATGGTTGGTATTAAAATAAGAGAATAAACTACATAAATAAGTAGGGAAACAACAGAAGGGGAAAACGTGTCACTAACGTAATTTAATGAAAAATCACGTCCTGTGTTTGACCCATCCAGCTCCCCACCCACCATAAGCGGTTTCTTTCATTTTTTATACTACGCTGCTTCTTCAGATCGAGCATAGCGACACAGATGCCTTTACATTTCTGTCAGGACGGACTACACGGTGTACATATGACACACAAACACCAAAAAAGACATTCTCATTGCATGCCAAAGGACTTTAAAATTGTGTCATTCATCAATGTATCCTTGTATAATATTGACAAAAAGTTACACCTCATTTTTCGTGCGTTTTCCTACACTTGACAATTTCCGCTTGTTACATGTACACAGTATTTTCAAAATAAACTTCATGATTATCTGGATAACTTACTTAATTATTTTGTAGGCTATCTACGCATGACTTATGTTTTTTAGGTATGGCTTGATCATACCAGCCTGATACGCCATTTGGTAAGACTGGGCTGCGTTCACACACGTTAAATGCAGTGGCGGGCTGCGCATTTTATACCTGGGCCTTCAGTGCTGTCCTACTACAGTTGAACCACCTCCCAATAACCTCATTATGATACGGTACGTGGCTTATGAACTGAACAATATGTTTGAATAATACTAGTGCATTTCGAAAATGCAGAAGCTTAAATTGTGGGAAATATAATGTTCTTTCGGTGGAGCCACTGCGCTCAACCTAGCAACCCACATGATGTCACAGACAACGTAATACCTGACACGCCCACCACGGAAGACACACCACGTGTGTTCTGGCAGGCTATGCTTCACTAGCTTAGCAGGAATCCATTTCTCCTCCTTCAACCATTGAGTGGTAAAAAAACAAAGCTAGGTAAAAGAAAAGAATCTACACCAAGCAAAACGCAAAAATGTCATGTCAATGTAATAACTTCTTACATATCTTTCAACCTGAACTCTTACTACTAATACTAACTTCTGCTAACTAGCTTCAGCTGCACAACAGTCACACTAGTCCTCTGACCAATCACACCGCACGATAATGCGGATCCGCACGTTATTGCTGATGTACTCGTCTAGGCCACCCAGAGAGCTCTGGCACGTCAAAGAATACGGCCAACATGTCAAACTAAAAGTCTGATTGGTTGAAGACTATGACAATCAACAATCGTCCCCATTCACTTAATCTACAAAAGGCTATGCAGAGGGCCTCGGGCCTCTCTTCTTACCTAGAGACATAGAGGTGAAATGGATAGAGGTGGATTGGATAAAAGCTCAACTTAAAACAAGCTGCACTGGAAGCAGAGCAACTGAGGAAGACAGTAGCTGTGCAATGAGAAAATAAGTGAATGGGAAAAATAATTAGAATACATGTAGTGTATTTATGAAAAATGATTAAATTATAAAATAGCTATAACTTTGTGATTCTGTTTAGGCCAGCAGAGAAGACTTTGCTGGCCCTGACGGCCCACCACTGGTTAAATGTGAGAACCCCATGTCCCCAGGCCCTGTCAGAGACATACCGAGCCGAACCCAAAGGGATCGGCGTTGTATTTGGCTGCAGAAGTAGGTGGCAGGATGCTACAGATGGTCAATAGGTACATTTTACATAACTTGCTCCATAATCACAGATACGGTTACCTCTGTGTTTAGCAACTGTCTCTCATTACAGTAACTCAACACAACTCTGCACTGTTTGTCCCTATTTAAATTGGCAGATTGTTGGCCACCGACGGCGGCCTCTTCATTCAACACACATTCTAATGAGGGTGATGTTTAGCTAACCCAACAGATTTCTGATGGAGCAGCAGAATTTAATCAGCTACATATACCAGTGCACCGTCAGTCACAGCGAGACCAATGTGAACTTTCGGATGGTAAACTCCTCAGGGTAGATTGGGCGGTCCATCAACATGTACAGTAAATCAGATAGGCCCATGAAAACCTAGATCTCTACAGCTTCTTATACATGCGTTTGTTGTCGGGAACGGCCGGGCAGCTATTTTTTCGCCCTCACACAGGCCTGAGGGGTCGCATCATGGTAGGTAGTCTCCCCTCGGGGCCCCATGCATTCTAGTACGTGCTGAATCTGAAACAAAAAATAACTTGTATAGAAGCAACCAAAGTGTGCAGTAATGCGGATTGAGGTTAGGCATTATTTTTTCAAAATATATTTTGTACTTTGCATTCATTTTATATTTTTACGTTTTTTTTTTTGTCTCTGCAGAATGCAGGAGATGTGGAGAGCACCTTAAATATCCTCAATGTCCTGGATGAACTTTTGTCTGCTGGTAAGCTCAGATCAGGTTTTGACCACTGAAGTGCATTTGACATGGCAATGTCATGTAGGGGACTAACTGTTTTCTGCAGCAGTAAACACAGGGACAGTGTAAAAGCCAGTATTGAGTCAAATAACAGAGAGGGGGATGCAGGAAAGTGAGAAATCTAATCTGCTTAACTTAATTACTTTCAAACTCCTCAGATGTATGTGTCACATTTATGCATGAATGCATGAATTTATGTCCACCTGAAATAATTGTTGAAAATAATGTCATTGATAGATGACTTGATCGCAAATTGTCATTTGCTTATGTAAAAATATTTAACCAAAACTGCCACAAAACATACAATTATTTTATGTTTCTTTCTTTTACATCCTGGTAAAAGAATGATGTACCATAACTCCATTGTTTAAAAGGACAAGGTTTAGTTAAAGTATCTGGACAACAATTATGTTTCTGTCAAAAGAAAATGTGAATAAATGTGTATCCATTCATCCACTCCTGTTAGGAATATACACTACTGTTGTAAAGTCTGGTCAGATTTTATGTTGATGTTTCTCTTTTTTCTTTCAATATTAACTATTTCAACAGAGATAAAAACTTCTAGTCGAAGTCCCCAAAGTGTTGCATGACAGGGGAAGAAATACTAGGAAAAATACTGTTGAGGTTGGATGTTAAATACATGTCTTCCTCTCCAGAAAAGTGTAATTGACCCTTGATCACTATTCAACCACCACAGTGCAACTAGTCTCTAAATATGTAGTTAGTCCGATTTTCTCTCCAGTCTACTCAGTGGTTAGATTGAATAGGTTTAAACTGTGATTTGTCACTGGAAAGAATGTTCAGTTGATATTCCAATTGTGCTAACCCTAGACTAACCCTCTATTTCTATTGTGAAGTTTAAAGAAGAGCTTTGCTAAAGCAACACATTGCCTGTTAATTCCAGCTTGTTATGGCTGCAATATACAGCACTTGACACTGAAACAGGAAGCTTTTCCTCTGCACAAATTTTAATGCTAATTTTCCAGTTTCTCTTGCCAATGAATGGTGATTTCTTCTGTTCTTATTCAACGGTTGCTCAGAGGGAACTTTGTCTCTTTCTGCCCTTTCAAATGTCAGTTTCATTGAATCATTTGAAAAGCGTTTTGTTCTCCATGTACAACAGTAAATAACATCTATTTGTAAAGCGCTACAACCTAAAAGCATGAAAGACCATTCAGACACATGGAGTAGACCTCTTAGGCATCTGACAAGACCCAATCAAGCTTTCGGTAGAGAAATGGTGGTTTTCAGCTCTCCATTGATGTTAAAGTAATTTGCTTTAGGTCATCATTTTTTTTTACCAAGTCTGTTTCTGCTTTTATCCACCTCAGACACAGTTGTTTTTTCTGGGTTTTGTAAGTGCAAATTGAAAATGCTTATTGAAAGAAGGTGGCTGGAAAAACACTTGCATCTTGAACAATGCTGGGTTTTTCCTCCACTCCACTCTGCTGTGAATGGAAACAACCTCAAAGTAAGACTGAAAGTCAACACTTAAGCCTCAAAGTCTGTGTTTTATTTCCAATCTAATGTGCTCACAGAGCCAACAACAAAAAATAAAATGTGCCATTGTTAATACCACTGAAAAGACTAGTCCGCCCCTCCAGCCTTCCTTTTAAATCAAACTAGTTTTCTCTGCCCAACAAAGAATTTGTTTTGTTTGCAGTTGTTTTGTTTCTGTGGAATTCTTTCCAGCAGGGGACACAGCGCTATATCTCTTTCTATTCAGGTACAGATCGTCGGATCCACTACATGATCAGTAAAGGTGGCAGCGAGGCCTTGCTTACTGCGCTGGTCAACACCGGCCGCAGTTTCAGCCCCAACTACACCCTTCTGCTGCCGCTGCTGCATCTGCTGGCTAAAGTTGGACACAGAGGTGAGGATGAATAAAAAGATGAAAAGCAAAAAAAATGTATGATGATGGATAAAAACCCAAATGTTTGACACTTTGACCAAATTTACACCAGAGTTACACCAGAGCCACGTTTCTTTTAAAGGTGACCTAATTAGCCTGTACAGGACATGCTGATTGGATGACATACTGTAACCACTAGCACCTTTTTGGTTATTCAGCAGGGAATCATAGCTTGGTACATATCATTAGCATTGCACATTATCTGACCAATAGAGGATAGCAGAGCTGGGGTCAGGCCTATGTTCCCTCAGTTCCAATTTATTTTTTCTTCCATCAAAATTAGGCACAATAATCTCTCAGACGTGCTGTCTGACACGCCCACCACGGAAGAACAACATTGTACTCTGGTGAGGCATGTGTTTTCTGGGAGGCGCGCTACGCTAAACTAGCTTGGCAGGAAAACTAACAGCAGCACACATGCTACAAACTCTCCCCGCAGCGTTTAGGTCCTCCTAGGACTCCTGGGTCATTGACAAATAAGGCTTCTAAAAAGGTAATTTCAAAAATTATCTTCAAAATGGATGTAATGCATATTTTTGTGTCTGAAAAAATGTGGTGAAACAAGTCTAAGTTGTGAACCAACTTTTCATAGTATTTTAAATAGTTTTTAACAGTATTTTTTAACTTCACAGGCTAAAAAATGTCAGGTGGTGCAACCACATATTTATAAAAAATTATATATATTCCTAATATTTATTCAAACTGAAATTTCTGACAAGTATCCCTTAGAGTGTCTACCGTGTCTAAAACATCGTATTTTGTGGTTGTGTTTTATATATATACAATAATTTATCATAATTGCGTTCTCTTGGCCAGATATTTAGTATATTTAACTTTTGATTTTACATTTAAACAGAGAAACATAATACAAATATACAAATGAATACATTCAATAAAATAGTTCTTCACATCATATCAAGCAAAAAAAAAATTCACTTTAACCTATTATTTATTGCTTTAAATTAATATTTTACCTGGTCGCACCACCATGACATTTATCAGTTCAGTTGTGCCACCTGACAATATTAGTAGTCACAGGAAATATGCAGAAAATTTGCATTTTTTTTTCAAATACAACATGCTTTTAGTTAACAGACTCTTTTTAAGTAAAATAAGTAAATATTTCATAGTAATCATGTTTAGCACATAACTGGAATAGGCAAAATCACAGTCACTTCCGCCTGGGGTGTTGCAGCTTCTACCTCATTGTAGCAGCGTTTTGCACACACTCCATACATGACTTGTTGTCTGCTCCCTGCGTCGTGCTGATTTTTCTTTACTTGACAGTGGCATCCTTAATAGTTAAACAATATTCATTAATATCATGAAAAATAGTTTGAAAGTGTATAATATCGTTAACTTAACACTATTAAACTTTAGAATTTTTTTTTAATCACTGACTCTCGCATGTCTTTTCCTCTGTCGTGTCCCAGGTGCTGACTTCTCTGGACAAAGAGGTCCGCTCCTTTCATCTTGCTGTCGTAATAGGACTTGCCTCTAGCACTTGACTTCTTGCTGTTCTCATTTGCAATCTGATAAGCATCAGACATTTTCTTTGCCCACTTTTGTGCATATTATAATAATAATAATAATAAAATTTATTTATAGAGCGCTTTTCACAGACAGAAAATCACAAAGTGCTTAACAGAGCAGAAATATAAAAGCATAAAAAACACAATGTGACCCTAGGGTCAATAAATTACATACACAGAGAGAAAATAAAAATTAAAAATTAAAATTAAAACATATTTTAAGAGCAGGTCTAGGACATGGGTTTTTACTCAAACGCCAGCCCAAAAAGGTGGGTTTTTTGAAAGTATTCACAGAATCTGCGAGGCGTAGATTCGCAGGCAGAGCATTCCACAGCCTCGGCGCCACTGCCTCAAAGGCTCGGTCACCACGGGTCTTAAATCGTGTGCGTGGAACTGACAGAAGACCTAGAGCATTTGACCTGAGAGTGCGGGCGGGTGAATATGGGTGAAGTAGATCAGCTACATAAGTAGGAGCCTGACCTTGAAGTGCTCTGTAAGTGATGGTGAGAATTTTGAAGTGTATCCTAAATGCTACAGGGAGCCAGTGGAGAGATCGGAGTGTGGGGGTGATGTGAGACCGTCGATTTGTCCTGGTGAGTAATCTGGCGGCAGCGTTTTGGATTACCTGCAGACGTTAAGAGCAGCTACACTGAGTGATGTGAAAAGTGAGTTACAGTAGTCAATGCGAGAAGAGATAAATGTGTGTATGATCATCTCTAGTTCAGGTGTTGATACTACAGATCTCAGTTTACTGATATTTCTTAGATAGAAGAAACATGATCTGGACAGCTGCTTAACATGGGGGTCAAACGACATGGATCGATCAAAGAAAATCCCTAGATTGCGCAGGTTGCAATGGGCAGCAGAGGAGACTGGACCAATACTCTGCCTGATCATGGGGACAAACTCATCTGGAGCAATAACTAGAACCTCCGTCTTAGTGTCGTTAAGTTGTAAGCAGTTTTCTGCCGTCCAGTCTCTGATGGCATTGACACAGTCCAGGAGCCTAGTTAATGTGAATGCCTTGCTGGGTTTGAATGGAAGATGGAGTTGGATATCATCTGCATATAAATGATAGGACACATTATAACTTTTTATAATCGGTCCCAAAGGTAACAGATAAAGGGAAAATAACAGAGGCCCCAGAACCGAGCCCTGCTGTACGCCACAAGACAGTGGAGCGGTAACAGACACAAAATCACCCACAGAGACATTGAAACTTCTGTCATTGAGGTAAGACGCGAACCAGTCTAACGCTATGCCAGATATGCCCACCCAATCACGTAGCCTCTTAATCAGGATGTTATGGTCTACAGCAGGGGTCATCAACCTTTTTTAAACTGAGAGCTACTTCAAGGGTACCGAGTAGTACGAAGGGCTACTTATTTGATACAAACTTCCTGAATAACAAAGTTGCACAGATCACCTTAATAATAATAATATATGTGAAGAGACTGTTTGATCACATGTCAGTTAATTATTCCTCACAATAATTATTAAGAATGATTTCCACAACAATAATGGTATAGCTACACATATATTTAAACATGCAACTTTTATTTCTGTTAATCTGTTTCAACATTTGAAAGTCAGAGGTATCACATCTCTGATATTTTTGTATCATCACACGATTAAAGCTGGTTACTTTTGCATATAGTGCCTGCTGGTGAATGATGTAATGTAGAAATTTTGCGAAGTCTGGGTCACCTTTGCATTGCGCAATGAAGCCTGCATGCCGGCCCGTCATCGCGGGAGCCCCGTCTGTTGTCACCGACACCAGCTTTTCCAATGGTACCTTTTTCTCCACGAAGAAACTAGTAAAAAGTCTCGTCTATAGCCGAGCGGGGGATACAACCCTCCGAGTCGAGCGAGCGTCTTCGGGCGCCCGCGTTCAAACCTCTAGTCTGGGCCTTTTCGATCGGATTGCCCCACGGCCTGTTCCGAAGATTTATGGACCTGACGACGGGGTGTGCTCGCATCTGGCGCCAACGGTAAGCGCCCGCCATTTGGAACCTGAAAACCTAGTGCGGTGCGGCGGCCTCGTCCTGGCTGTCCGCCGTGCGCCTCCGGGTACCCAACTCTCTTATGACAAGAAATATTGTCATTTTAAAATCTACACTAATGCAAGCGTGTTTGATTAAAAAAGAACAGCAACTACAATTTTAGACGGACCTCCATGGTGACTAGTGCTATTTTTAGAACATGCCTTGCGGGCGACTCACGTGGTCCCTGCGGGCGACAGGGTGCCCGCGGGAGCCGTGTTGGCTACCTCTGGTCTACAGTGTCGAATGCAGAACTGAGGTCCAGAAGAACTAGCACAGAGCAGTCACCTGCGTCTTGAAGGCTGATAGGCTGGAAAGAGTCCAGAACAGTAGGAGATTGCGAGGAGCTACATGTAGATGAACAAATCCCAGGCTGAATGCCAGACCTAATAGCTGTTACCTTATCATTAAAATATGTAAGGAATTTGTTGCAATCGTCAACAGAACAGCATGGCAATGTAGAGACAGACGGTGAAACAATTATCTTAATTGTGTCAAACAAAATCTTGGGATTTCTCTTTGAGGAAGAGATTAAGTTGGCAAAATAAGCAGTTCTAGCTTCCTTTACTCCAGCATTAAAAGAAACTCTGAGGTCTTTGAGATATGAGCGATGTACTTCTAGCCCAGTGGCTTTCCATAGCCGCTCTGTCCTGCGACACTTCCGTCTCAAGCTGCAGACAGCGTCTGTCATCCACGGAGAAGTGTTGTAGGCAGCCCTAGTCCTTTCCTTAAGAGGTGCCACTTTATCCAGCAAAGTGGTGCAATGTTCATTAAAAGACTGTATCAAGAGTTCAACATCATTGAGATTTGTGTTAATATCGCAGCAGAAGTGCATAGAGAACTGATCAGCTGTACTCTGAGTAATAATGCGGGAGTGGAATGTTTGTTTCAGACACAAGGGGTCAGCATTTACAGAAAGATCAAACAAAATACATTTATGGTCACTGATCAGTAGGTCCTCACAACGGGTATTATCAATATCAAGACCCAGAGAGAACACAAGGTCCAAGGTGTGACCACCACTGTGAGTGGCGCCAGAAACATGTTGCGTGAAATTAAAAGATTCAGTAATATTGAGAAACTCAGTGGCACTGCAGTCTGTGGTATCATTGATATGCAGATTAAAATCACCAACCAGAAGCACTTTGTCTAGCTTGATAATAGAGGTCAGAAAGGCTGCGAACTCTGATAAAAACTGACCTGCAGGACCTGGAGGTTGGTAAATTAAAAACAAAAAAAACTAAAAAACAAACAAACAGTAAAACGGCTTTAGCCGGCCCACTTTAGTCAGCTGTAGTTCAAAAGTAGCATAGGATTCTGTGCTCCCCAATTGGCAGGAAAACTGATTCTTCCAGACCACGGCGAGACCTCCACCGCGGCCTGTCAA